CGCTGGGCTGAGCCCCCTTTCCCTTGCGTCGGTACGCTAACAGGCAGCGAATGTGGGGCTGTCCCAACCAAGGTGCTGACCACCACCAGCATAAGGCAGACCGGTCTAGGTACAACTGCCGAGACAGCATTCCCAAAAAATCTGCCTTTGCTTCCGGGTATACCGACAGGTCCTCCTCTCCGTGTTTGCATGCTGTATGCATAAACTCCCTTGATCGGCTGTCATGTAGGTAGATTGGAAGTTGTTGGCTGGGCCTACATGTGAGTTGGCTGCAGTGACGAGGCCTTGCACCTGCTGACCGAAGCGATCTCTGATCGGTGACCATTTGAGAGGGCGCTCGAGGGAGCCCTTATCCCCGACCCTAACCCTCGGGTGTAGCGTAGCGAGCTAGGCTTCCCCACATTCAGGGGTTGCGTAACTTTGAAAAAGAGGGAGGGGCAATCCTTAAAGTTTTTCCCTTGCGCTACCCTGAGCCAGCTGAAAATAGATGATTTTTTTTCTCTCGCTTGAATGATGAATGACACCCTTTTCTCGGATCTCTTCAGATGTGGCGTTAGAGTTACCGGGTGTACGTGGCGGCCACGTTAAGGTGAGGGTTGTTCGGCAGTCGATCGGTCGGTCGGCTGAGTCGGCTGCCTCCGAGGGCAACGGGGCGGCCCCACATTTCACCTTTTTCAAGGTCGGCTTCGCCTCAGTTGCCCTGGCTTTGAATTGAAGAAAAAAAACGTTGGGCATCAGGCGGGCAGGCCGGGGTGAGGCTTGTTAGCAGATCGCCGGGCGTGTGTTGTAATACAGTTCGGTTTTGACGTTGATGTTGACTTTGACAGACCCCTGACAGGCTTGATCTTAACAAGCCAAAAGAGTGACGTCAACGGTGCCAAGGCCCGCCCGGCACGACGGGAGACGGGAGACGGACAAGACAAGGAGGGGCCAATATCCGATATCCGTCAACCCCCCGTTGATGGGGGATTCCTTATTGAGAAATTTCAAGTCGAGGAGTCATGATCACAAGGGACTTGGGTTTGAGGCGATAAACCGGTCTTCTAGCGGTGAAGACGGCGAAGGATCACGGCAAAAAACAGGGAGGAATGTTTTTTCTTTCTTGCGGTAAACTCGCCTTCCTCTTCCTCGCCCTCGCCAGCGGGGTTGTCCATTCCGAACCCGGTTTCCAAGCTTTGTGACCTTTCTCCTTTCTTGAAAGTTCCTCGCGTCGAATTGTCTTGTTTCTCGATACCCGCTGGGGCTTCATTGGGTCATGATACCCCACGCAGAGTAAAACAAGGGAGTCCAGAATCAGGCGTTATCGAGCTGAAGCCATTGGTGATCCGCACTGTGGTCGCGAGCAAGAGACGATCTGCCAGTGGGCAGTGGGCAGTGGGCGTGTTTGGCCGAAACAGGAGGTTCACAGAGATCCAGGAATATTTGCGATCACGGGACACTGGCCTGAAGAAGGAAGCCCGGCCGAAGTCAAGTGACTGTCAGTCACGAGTGCGCTGCTGCGCGGCAAGAGACGGCACTTTTTGCCTCACCTCCCGTCACACAAGAGAGGAAAGAATACGCAAGCCACATGAGCCAAGCCACAATTTGTAGTGACAGTGTGTATAAGTGTAGTTGCGTTGTTGGAAACAGTGGGGCTGCAGAGAGAAAAGGCTGCAGATCCACCGTGCTTCCAAGTTTGGATACGCACAAACCCCTCTCCATGTATTCGTAATTCAGCTGGGCAGGTCTGGGCATTCTCTCACAGACTTCACCTCGCCCTCACAGCAGCAGCTAGCTCCACGTTCAGCTTCCAGCAGCATCAACACCAAGCATCAGTATCAGCATCGTCATCATTTCCACCATGATTATCATAACCAAGTATACGGAGATTTGACACCCCAGACAGGAACAGATGCCGGTTCTACAGCAGCCTCGCGCTCACTTCTAATCTGGCAGGCTGGACGTCAGGTAGGTGGTTCTAGGCCACCCCAGTCTGCAGTAACGTCGCAAAGCGGCACCACCCTTTTTGCCCTCGTTTCGAGTTTTTCACCCAATCGCCTGCCGTATCCTCGGTCTTTCTCCAAGATGGCGGCCGGAGGAGGGCGTCAGGCCGGCAGCCAATGAGGCTCAATAGCAGGGATCCCAACTTACACACCTTTTTGCTCACCTTCTGCGCTAGCATGGTCTGCCATGCCATGCCTGCTCTTGTCATCCATGACACGGGACCGACGAGAGGCTGGCATTCACTGGCGATGCTTCCCCCCTCTCCTGCACTCTATATTGCCCGTTTGGGGGTGCCAGTGGGATGCCAGTGGCATGTTGCAACTCGAACATCTCCTTCCGGAACCCACCCCTGGCCGCACAATTCGACAAAGGGACCAGTCGGTGTCGAATATCGCCATCGCAGGACGTGTAGCCGGCTGGCTGGGTCCCATCCTCCTCCTGCGGCATGCCCAGATCGGGACATACTGGTCGAGTGCTGGGCCCAAGAAAGTCGAACGTGTGGCGTCGAGCAAGATTTCCAGCAACAAGACCGGCATGTTCGGGAGGGGTGGGCGGGATCTTTTATTGATGGGCAGACAGTCAGCCACTGAGGGAGTTGAGACAAGAGAAGAACGCCTCCAGCAGCGCGCTTGTGTGTTTCATGTTTCCTTCTGGCCAAGCTGATGTTGATATCTTTTTCGCTTTCGGCTCCTCGCTTCTTGCGTCTACTGCGGAAGGACTCCTAATCTTACGATATGCAGTCATGGGGTTGGAGCCTTGGTTCCAGGGCAGCCTTCAACATGGCTACGCCGTCTCTGTCATCTCGTCATGATTTCGGGCTAGGGCACCGCTTCATATCACTGGGCAAAGGGAAGATTGAGGTCTATCTTGTGATCACGACGATGGCTTGAGATTTAGACAATCTCGCCATGGCAAATGACGCCTTTGTCTTTTCCCCGCCGCCAACATGCTCCGGCTGCTTTCTTCTCGAACGTTTTTTGGCGGCTTGCAAGGAGGGGGAACCCCATCCCAAGCCATCAAGACCCAGATGGTGTGCGTGATGGACCGCACAATATGGCTCTTGAGGCCTCACCAAGCGAGCTTCATGCATGACTGAAGAGGTGGCCCATCACAAACGGCACCGGCCTTTTCAAGCGACCGTCTGTCCATTCAGCGGCAACACGAACAGTGTTTAATCTAGACCATGCAGTTGCATGGCAGTTTATCTTTCTCAGGACGCCAGTGTCGCTAATAAGGGAGCGGATGGTACCTTGGAGTGACGGTGATTCTGTTAATATCACAACTCACAAGTCACAAGTCAGAAACGACGCTCTTTTTCAGAACAAGAGTTGGCTGCAGACTTGGCTGCCCGACTACGGACGTTATCTGAAAGTCCTGGAGCCATTCACACAAGGTATTCAGTTGACGCCTCACTGTTTACCCGAGTTACCAGTTCCAGTTTCTGGTGGGATCTCGACGGGCCACTCATATAGATTCTGGGCGGTGGCGGATATCGATATGACTCCTCACGGCTCATGCAACTAAAAATCCCCATGAAAAAAAAAAAGTCCTACGATCGGCCGGGAGCTGTGATACGCGCTCTTCTTGCTGCGGGACGCGTCATTTACTCTTCGACTAGCGAAACACGAAAAAGGAGTCATTTTGCTGCATGATTTGACTTGTTGTCAAGAGGCCTGTCATGAGAGAGTCTGAACAGCTTGCTGCCAGCCACGCCAGCCAGGAGGAGTCTTCAGCAGGGCGAGTCTAGCCGGGTGTTAGTCTGACGACCTTTTCTCTTGGCGGACGTTCAGACTTACAGCCGTGTAATTACGGTACGGTGCTCTGTAACACTACTCCAGATGTGGCGCTGTTCGTAGTGTAGCTGTAAGCTTGCACCGTCCACATCTGCAGCTTTCAGCTCCGGTCGCATGCGACCGACCACAAGCCGGACCAGCCATTCGCTCTTGATGGCCATTGCGCATATGCAAGTGGCAGCATAGCCCACGGACTTTCTTCCCTTTTCTTTCCTCTCTTCTTTCACCTTGGGCCTAAGAGGGAGAGAGAGCAGATGGCGATGGGCCGCGCAAACCCCAGGTGTGGCTGCTGTCCCATCTCTTCCGTCTCCCGTCTTCCATCAAACGTGCCTATCCTATCCTGTCACCAGTCAAGCGGCTGGGATCGGATCAAGTATTCTTGTGCCACACTGCATATGCTCAGAGAGAGCGCCATGAAACCTGGGGGTGGTACGAAACAAAAGGTACTTTGGAGATCGTCCCAAGATGGTCATTTTATCTCGACTTATAAGTGTCAAGGGTCTGATATCGTCTGTAGCGTCCGGGAATGCGGCAGCAGTGGGTGGTAGTATGAGGTACTTGCCCTCAGTAAAGACGACGCTGACGCGAAGCCGCGGCAAACCCGTCAACCTCACCCCGTTCTTCCTCCAGGGCCAGTCAGCCCAGGCTACCACTGATGATCTGTTTGCCCGCAGATGCTGCTCCTCCACCAACGACGAGGACAGTGGGCAGACAGCAGTCGAGGTGAGGGCGCTGCTGTGAAGCTGCAGGCGGGTCCCAGTCCCGTCCGCTCGCCTGGCCCCATCTGGCCATCGGCGCTGTCGTCCCCTCTCCATCGACCTGCATGTCCTCGGCCACGCCCCCTCTCCTACCCTTCCCCTCCCAAGTAAGTACCTACCCCCCCCCCCCACACACACCAGGGACCCCGTCGGTAGGTACCCATTTCGGGACTTGAGCTCTTATAACGACGGGCCCTCGCACCCGGACTATACGAGATTCTCACCCTCCTTCTTCCCCCTCACGAGACTTCGTCCACCCTTCTCTTCTTCTCATTTGCGGTTGCTGGCGTGCATGCTAATCCCTTGTCTTGGGACCGCCCGCTCCGTCACCTTTCTCACCTCGTTTCTTATTTACTATTCGTTTCCCTCGCCCTTCTAGTTCCCCATCCCAAGCCCTTGCCCTGCTCCACCTCGACCACCCTTTGTACTCACTCAACCAGGACACACACCAAAGTACACTCAAACCATGCCACCACAACTACTCCCGGCTTCGGCAGCTGCCTTTGCTCCCCGTGCTTCCTCCGTCAACGTGGTCCTCGGATCCAAGGTAGAGCCGTGGCTCACGCAAACACTCAAGCGCATCAACAGGATCAAGCGCCCACTCAACAGTGTACCTCAGCACCAAAGATGTCTGACCGAGACCCTGTCGTCGCCAAATGCCATCTGGACCCTGGCTTCGCTGATGCTGCCCAAGGCCCCCGAGTCGGAGCTCAGGAAAGACTCCAACCCGCTGATTGAGGCCATCTTCAACTACCAGCTCATCCACCTCGAGGCCTACATTGTGCACGTCGACATGGTATTGAGAAACGAGGTTGCTTACAAGCTGACGCCGGACACCATCGAGTCCCTGATTGAGTACCACAAGGACATCCACTGTGTCAATGCAAAGGCCAACACCTACGACTGGTCCGAGAAGGAAACACAGTGCAAGAAGCTTCACGAGGACTTCATCCAGGCCATCAACAAGTTTGTCTTCCGGACACATGTGTCGGCACTCGAGGGGCTCGAGGAGGATGGTGCTGGAGAGCTGCTCAGTGGGAAGAGTGAAGAGGTGAAGAATGCCGTCATGAACCTGGTCAAGCCTCTGCTTCCGCCGCCGCCCAGGATCGTCGATGTCGTCCGTCAACCACCGCTCCTGCCCAGCTCGCCTGCAGGTGCGAACATCTGGTCCCAGGCGCCCACCCCGACCACGATGCCAGCCCCCGTCGATTCCTGGAAGATCCTGCCTTCGAGCCCGAGTGTAGCTTCGACTCCGCCCGACTCGACCAGCCCTACCATGTGGGCCACGATTGGCATCAGCGAGTCCTACACGCCATCGCCTCCTCTTGCCTACAGCCAGCCGTACACCACAGCTGGTCTGTTCTACGGCTCGCAGTTGGTCTCGTCGCCCATCCCCCACCTCCCACTGCCCAGCATGCTTGCTCCTCAGTGCGGTGTGACGGTTGGCTACAACTCGTTTGGCTGGGACAGTCGGTACCAGGACTATGCGACGACAATGTGACAACCATCGCCACCTGTATCGGCCGCTAGCTATCCAGTCGTGACGACAGCCTCGTTGTAAGCGCGCCAACCAACGCGCCCATCGGCCACGACCGATAGTCGCGATTTCAGGAGGGTTTGGCATCAAAGCGCAACAACAGAGTTTCCCCTGTCACCACCACACTTTATTGTTCGCAAGCATCAAAGGCATATCGGGGCGTTTCTTTCATCACCTTTTGCATGGGTTCGGAGCTTCCTGGGAACATATCGTCGACATACCCTTTTCGGCGCATATATATTTGGACGGGGTTTTTCTTTCTTTTTTTTTCTTTTTTTTTGTGTGTGTTTCTTTTGTTTACAGCGAGCGTTTTTTGGTCTTGGTTTTTTTTTTCATCTATTTTGGATACCACTGCTTCAACTGCGAGCTCGGTTGTAAGCCTTTTTCTTCTGTTTGGCTTTTGTATCGCATGCACACAACATCAAACCTTACATGGCTGGGTCCTGGGGCTGGATATATGAGTTTTTATCTGCATATTTATCGGCATATTTTGGAAAGGATGAGATACAGGTGGTCTTGTTTTCTTTTCTTGTGTGAAACTTTTTTTTTTCCTTTTCGGTGATTCAAATATCAAAGAGGAGACCGCAGCAATGCACCACAACCCAAGTTCGGCACAGACCGGGCTCAAGATCTTTTTCTTTTCTTCTCTCTTTTTTTTTCCCTTTCAAAAACTTGGTGGATATGGGGGACGAAATTCAGCACCACTCGACTCGACCTTCAGCCAAAAAAAAACCAACACTCGCTTAACGTTCGTTCTTCACTCACCCGACAACGCACGACCACCTTGGATACCAAACATTTTAATATTCCTTGTCTCATGGATGAATGTTAATGTTACGGCCTATTTCTTTTTCTTAATGATGGATATATATATCCCCGACAAGAACCGGCTTTTTTGTTTTTTTTTTGCGACGTTGCGTACGACCGAGCGACGACGATTACGACGACGACGACGACGACGAGGTAACGACTTTTCGGCTTGATGCCGGAAACGCTGCAAAAAAAAAACACAAAACAAAACACTGGATTGTTGTTTGGGAGGTGTATATCCAAAAACAAATCAGCGGAAAACATAACATTCATCTAGCCTGGCGCGCGCGACATGAAAAAACTCATACGGGATATGTGATTTTCTGGAGCAAAAGGGCAGACACTGGTTGTCGACAAGGAAGTGTTTCCAAGGAGGCTGGGTCGAGCCCGAGGCAAAGAAGGCTTGCCTCGGATATGGAACAAGAAGAATGGACGGGAGTAGGGGGTTGGTTTTG